CACCAAAAACACTGATTTTCACAGTCAAAAAATACAAGTCACATTCACTGAATGAGTTCGTTAATGCGCATGTTCCACGTCGAATTTCAATTTCTGAAAATATTCATTTTGGTTTGACAATTATCTCTACGTTCATGTTTTCTCTGTTTATCGGTCCGGAATGCTGTAGTGTCCTTCAATAGTAATTCTCTGCAACAGGAAAACCTGGCAGGATAAAAACAGGATAACGTTTCCATGGGAACTCACAGAATCCCGGGCGAATGCTTAATTCGCTGTTCGTTTAGACAACCCAGCTGCCACAGGCATAAGCGAATGTATTGATGCTGGGACTTCTAAAGGGAGTTCTAAAGTAAACCACTAAAAATCCTATTCCCTGGACCCGAACCATGTTGCAGAATTGTACGCGTCCTAATCATGCACTCAAAACAAATTCCTCGAGTGAGCTCCTTCGTAATTAGTCGGGCAAGTTCATAGGATGAAATTAATCAGGTACCGCTAATAGTGACGATTACATTTCTAGCGGCAGTTATTCTTACTGGAGGAGCCAACGCTACATTTCCTGGTGCATCGAGGTTGCTGACGATCAAGGAGACTCAAGACGCCGGCAGACACGCAATCGCCAGCGAGGAGATACATCCTGGCGACACCCTCGCGGCCGAACCGCCGCTTGCTGCTTGTTTGCTACCTGAATTTTACGGCTCGCATTGTCATCACTGTTTTACGAGGTGAATCTCTGAGAGCTACTCTGTCGTTTCAGCATTTGAACAGACTTTTTTGGAAATGCTGTTACTCGCCAGACAGTTATTGCATTGCTAATACTGCGATGCAGATTGATAATTAGCGACAGTCATTAATAACCTATAACAGAACCCTGAGAGTTTACTCAGCTGGATTTAAAATCATTCGCGTGGAATCCTCACAGGCTATTACACTCTGGGCTCTTCGATATTCGAGAAGACAATCCACGTCTGGTTAAATTATGCTTTCCTTGAACCACTCGATTGAGTTTAGAGCTAGTCAATTATGTATGCACCGCTACGGTAAACGTCATGCTCCTTGTGCGTAGCGTACCGTGACGTTACGTGCTGGAATGGCCGAAAAATAGAGGTCAGGACCTATCAGGATGAAAGTGAGTTTGGTGGGAGACGACTGGTTATGGTGCCCTGACTTGGCAGAGTCCGTAAAGTGTCGGGTTCGGTTAACAATTGGAACTCCACTTTTCGGAAATTCTTAGCCCTCAAGTACTCCCTCTGGTGGCGCGAGTTACAAATAAAGATTACAAGACAGTAATCGTAATCGGATTGAAACGTTGCAACGTGATAAAAGTATTATTTAAATAATAGAGTACAAGACCCAGCCCGGGCCGCTCGCGGATCCCCATCTTCCCCACCGGGCTTGCTCGACAACCGACCCCGTGCGAGATTAGTCCTGGCGAGTCGACTTTCTCTCTCGTCTGACACTTCTATCTCGCTCGGGCGTGCACTGTCAATGTTCGAGATATCGTATAATTAATGACGAGCATCATTGTTCTAATAATGAAATCTGTTTTACTTGCAGACTGAGGGCACCTGTAGGTTGCAGTATATGTAGCAGTGTGGCTTTCTGCGGTTCGTCATGCAGAGATACTGCGATGTCAACGTATCACAAGTACGAGTGCAAAATCATAGCTCTTATGATAGGTAACAGACGCACCAATAACAGTAACTTTAATTTTCCTCCTAACTATTTATACGCCTCGTACTGATTCTTTGGATCTTTCATTTAGGCTCCGGAATGAGCATTCTCAGTACGGTTGCATTTCGAATGGTGACCCAGGTGGGAATCGAGGGCTGTCTCGAAATTTGCAAAAGGATAAAACTTGGTCAAAACAATATAAACGAAGCCAATGAAGAATCGAGAACGAAGTCCGATGAGAAATTGGCGATTAGCAAATCTGCCAAGAGACGATTGCGCAAGAAAAAGCTCAAGGAAGCTGGAGAAAAGTCAGCAGAGGACTTAGCCGATTTTACTGGGCAGGAGATGAACGAAGAGCAGAACAAAAGTCACGTTGACCTTAGAGCTTATGAACTGGTGACGCTTGCAGGGCAACGTTCACCAGAAGATTTTTTACGTCGCACGTTAATGGCTACGTTTCACTTGAAGTGTTTGCAGAAAGTCGGTTTTTTCGTAAATCCATCCAAGTTTAACGGTAACTTTCTTACACGTATTGTAACGTATATTTCCTTAACCCGACACCGATAACGAAAAATATGAGAACTGACCTACGTTACCTTCGACCGTCCACCCTTCGCTGATGCATCCGCAAGCCAGGCGGGCGCCATCCAATTCTTTTTTTCACCGGGACCTGACGAGCCGTTATGAACTGGGAGTTGCGGTGAAACAGGCCCAACTCCGCCAAAACGAGAGCTCTGACGGAACCTACAGATAACGCGATAACTTAACGAATTCTGTAGGCTTTTGAAGACGCGTAAAATCGAGATACGCAACCGTAGGTGCTAATTTTTGGGGTCGCGTAAAATCAGCAAACGCAACTGGATGCACAAACAGGAGCGCACGGTTACGGAAATGCGCGACCGCCCAGGCTGCTAGGTTGAGGTAGAGAGGGTCGGAGCAAGCGTCAGGTAAACAGTGCGAGATACAGAGAACAACGAATCCAGAACGTAACAGAACGAATCTGAACTATCGATCGAAATTGCTTCACGAATTAATAAATTGGGAGAACTCACCGGAGCTGGTGCATCTGATCCCTGAAGGCCGAGAACTGCATTCGTAGGACACTCGGGTGGGCACTACACTAGGACACGGCACTACACCTTCGGAACACTCACAGGAATTCATAGAATTGCCTGGATACCGCGAGAACAACGCGAGAACTGTACGAACCGAGAACTTGCTACACTGTAGCGAAACACGGCAAGAAAAACTATCAACAGATAGCACGGGAGCGCGAGCCAGCCCGTGACACCTCGGTCGGTGACCCGAGACAGACTGCTTTGACAATAGCCAAATGCCAAATTCGGGCCAAATTAATCATTCTGATTGGTCGAGAGCCTTATAACCGATAACTCTTCCATCTCCTTCGAGTCGTCCCTTTAAACCAAATCGAGAGCGTTCCTTAGCGAATCGCTACGTAACACTTTTGGAGATCCTCCACGGCCGCTTCCCCAGGGCATCGGGCGACAGCTGGGCACCACGTCCTTAACTCGGGCAGGAGGTTCCTCTTCTGCCCTTAACCGTATCACAACTATATCCGCCCGCTCTACAGCCCTTTGCCCATCTCCAGCGGGGCGCCGGTGTTTCACCCAGGCGTCTGCCGGTCCGTGGAGACGTCTCCGTCGGGCACTCTCCTCTGCCGGGCAACTCGGTACGTCGAGACTATCTCCCCACGGCAGATTCGAGTGCCTCGACCTCCACAAAACAATAACGAAATCTTCCGAGAACATTGGCATAACTATGCAAATCAACCCGAGAGCGTAGCTTCTGAGCAGGGTGGCGACCCAAAGGGAACCAGAAAGCGAGAACGTTATCTGTATCGGTAGCCGAAGTCACCTAGTGACCGTGAACCGAAAAATCACGTCACAGTACATACGCAAAACTGTTATTTTGCGTATCATGATTATACTACATATGCAATCTTATTTCCAGAAGGTCCAAGCGTCGAGGAACTTTTAGTAGGTTCATTGCTACTGAGAAATTTGCAACTTTTGCAATTTAACGCCCATGAGGTATCCGAGACTCGATTGGGAAACGACCATCGTTTCCGCGGCAGCAAAACTATTTACATTGGAGTGGCCATTTATCCAACGGTGGCCTTTTTCAACCATGACTGTTACCCGGCAGTTACCAGGTAAGCAAAAAGGCGAGAAGGAACAATGGTAATAACGTAGAATGTAAGTGTAAACAGCATGAAAAATTTATGAAATTTCTTCAAAAATTCATACAAGTCTATACTCTTTATTGACAGATACTTTTCCGGTCGCAATATCGTGATAAGGGCTATACGGCCATTGAGAGTAGGCGACGTGCTGGCCGAAAATTACGGGCCGATCTTCACTAAGCGAAGCCTCGTCGAACGGCAACGATCCTTGACTGGTCGCTATTGGTTCAAGTGCTCCTGCAGGGCCTGCTACGAGGACTGGCCTGGTTTTAAAAGTTTGACGAATGACTGTGCACGACTGAGGTATCGAAATAATTCCATTCGAATGAAAATTTAAAGTCCCGTTATCGTTCTGTGGTTAATCAGAATAACAGCAAAGTGATTGGTCTTTGTCTCAGGTGTCCGAGTGAAGGATGCACGAGGCTTCTGGTGCAGCCACGAGAACCAAAGAAACCAGTGAAATGTCCTGGATGTCAGAAAAAGGTGAACCTTGAGCATCGCTTGAATAAGTTACGTGAATGCGAATTAGATTATGCACAAGGTCACGCGATTATGGAAGCGGAAAGGGTCGACGATGCTATTCAGGCGTTTGCAGAAGCTTTGGAGAAATTTCACAAGATTGCTTCGCCACCTCATCGGGACACTCACTTGGCTGAAATTGCATTGGCTGCCTGCATGGCGATTTCCGGCAATACTTGGAAACCAACAAATAGCGGTGGCGGGGAACGTCAATTGGCTTTGCTCTGATCAGTTGATATTCACATGATTTCGTTTCGGTTCCTGAAATCATATAAGCTCGACGTAGAAAATGAGGAACTATACCGAGAAATATTGTAAAAGAAATTGTTTAAAGAAAATTAGTTAGTTCTCGTTCCTTCATACAAAGATACTTTCAAATACTTTTTATTCTCCCACGATATGTTTGGAAAAACCATGGTAGAGGTAGCACATAAAGAATCTATCTTTCACAAATATATTACGGGATAGTTGAAGAAGGGTACATTAATAAATAAAGGATGACATTTTTAAGGATTTTATGAATAAAATCACGCTGCATTATCTTCATTACTTTTTCGATTTTTTTGGTTGATTTATTTTTTATAATGCACATGTTTCGTGAAAAAATTAAATTCCATATATGAAATTAGCTTTTAGAGTTTCATGTTTCGGTACAAAATTCACTGGGCAGTCGACGGACAGAACGGGGGGAGTTTGGGGAACCGGTGCGCGCACAAGTCGCGGCCGGACGAGTCCGTCGAGTTCTTTTACAGATTTTGTTCGAAAAATGAACGCTTCTTGTTTACAGTATTCCCGTCACATTATTTCCCTTAATCTTCTCTTTTGTTGTTGTTCAAGTATTCAAAACTTAATTCGAACTAATTGACTATTGCAGTATTATTGCAATCATTATTTTCAAATTACGTTTCGCAACTTGTTGGGCTCCCATCATTTTTTTGCATTTTTTGTTACTATTCGCTCTCTTTGCCCATTCGCTGAAAAAGTTTCATTTTGCTTTTCCCCCCTTTCCCTCTCCCTTACTCTTATTATATTATATTCCTCATTCACAGACGGCTCGATGGAAATTAACGCGGTGGCCAAAAAAAAATAAGTTGGATCTCCCTTTCGTATCCCATGACATTTTGCTTCATGTTCATTTTATATCCCTCACGCACTACAATTCTCTCCATCGTTTTTTTCATTTGCCAACACGGAAGAGACATTTCGCGGTTAAAATAAAAAACACTGATTGAAAACCTTCGTAAAAACGCGGCGCGTGTCACAAAGATGGTAATAAAAATTCTCTTGTTCCTGTTCTATCGGGTTTGACTTTGCTTTGCTGCGGCCCGAAATATCGTCATCGACCAATTTGCAAACACTACGCGTTGACATTTGTTAACGTTCTGTCAGTCGCGATGATCTTATCTCATTTAGCGGAAAGCTGATTTCGTCGTTACGTATTACAAGTCATACGCTATATACCGGGTGGGACACTAATCGACAATTGTTCCTTAATTTTTTGCTTTTAGTTCCTTTTTCCAACTTCTTCTGTCCCTCAGAATTATCATTATTAGCTTCAATTTCAGTTAACACATGCATTGTACTTTTTCGCAGTCAGTTACAATTTTATCCCTTTTTGCAAGCCTGACCTTTATACCTTCTAACGGTGCTTTGGCGACCTCGCGGTTACGAAAGACATTTTGCAGTGTTACTTTCTTTACGCAACACTTTTTTGCCTTTTTTCTTACAATTATTTGGTCAACCTCCGTCATCCTGTGAAATCTGGCTGAATCGTTACGTTATTAAGCATATTAAATTAACAAACCAGAAAAATTAGCCACACACATTCTTCGTATCGTGAAATGCATAAATTGAACAAACTTTTATACGATACTTTCATACTTCAAATCAATGATCGCGGTTGCCTACGAGTTTGATTCAAAGAGAATTTGAGAAAAGCAAATGTCAGCACAGTTTTCCAAGGGGTTACTTTTTGCGATTGCCCGCAAGTGACAAGACAATGTTCCAATATTACAAATTAATCGCATAAGATGATCATCGTAGGACTTCACGTTCTCAGTAACGTATACTTATTTTCATGAAACTTAGAAAGAATATCAAAGACTGTTTTCTCCTCAAAATTGCGAGTGTGGAACATTGTCGAAAATCATTAACGGAATGGTTGACGTACGTAACCGCGGGTTCTTATTTGTTAAGCGTCTTCACGCACCTCAGCACTCTCTAGATATTATGTTTTTCTTCTCAAATAGTTATTCATACACAAACAAAGATATTATGCACATTACCAGGATTCAACGGGCGTGACAAACGACTACTAAACAAACGTTACTTGGGTAAGGAACGCAAACTGGCAAGAGATTCGTGGTGTGCGGTGATTCTTCGCCATATTCATTTCTTAAGTAATGAGACGACGGCCAAGATGATTACAACGACGACAACGAAGGCAATGAGGACGACCACAATTACAAACGTAAAGGTAATAGTCTTACGAGTATCGAATTATAAAAGTAATGTAAAGTTAATGAGCATTGCCAGATGCGAAAAACGGTACATTAAACGTTTAACTGTCCTAACGAGAATCTTTGCGATGGAAACTGCTTGAAGTAGACGATCGGTAGAAATTAATTGTACACTTTATTTTATCTCTGTGTGCTACAAACTAAAATTAAAAAAAAAAGGTTTTTCTAGATCATGCAAATTTATCCGCAAATTCTGTTTGCTCTTGTTCTCCCTCTTCCGCCACCGAATTGGCGATTTAAATGAACAGATCAGCGACGATCTGTCAAAAATTGTTTTTCCAGACGAGCTGAAAGATGCGACTTGAAATCGCCAAACGATCTCAAGTTTTGATGAGCTCAGCTTAATGATCACAAGTCGCTCCTCCCAAATCCGATTACCTGCCAGCTAACTAAGTCCGTAAGTCTAAATTGAATAATTAGTACACATTTGTCAAATGCGACCCACCAGGGGTTAACAATATTATTGGTAATAATCAATCGTAAAAACGTGATCAAGTTCAATCGTATACAACAAATCATCACAATAAAGATTACGTTCGCAACGAAAAGTCAGCTAGTGAGTGTTATATCGGTATTCTCGTCTTTATCTCTCTCTCTCATTTCTCTCTCTCTCTCCTCTCTCACTGTCTCGATCTATTCGGACATTCCATTGGAACACAGAAATTATTCATGTTGATTATGAAATTTCTTAGTAGATCCCTGATTATTAAAGTAACATAAGGGAGCAAAATTGAAAACCAGTGTTTACTTATTATGGTAATTTCTCATTGTTCCATTTGGATAGTCACGAAAAGAATCGAAAAGGAGATTAGTAGAATCTTATCAAACTAAAGTATCGCATACGGAACTTAGGTTCAATACACGTTCTTTGATGGAAAATAAAGTTAAGAAAACGCTTGAAACAAAGAATTCGAAAAACAAGAACAAAAATTATCTTCTTTCAAAAGTTCTTTTGCAATTTCGCCGATTGTGTTAGTAAACGCTCACGCCTACGCATTTATCAATTATAAAACATTTTAGTATCGTCTCGGCTACTCTCAGTGTTCAATTTTATACGATTCTTAATTTGTTCGAATTTTGAATAGTTTCTCTGGAAGTACAGTCAATCTAATCATGGTCATCCAATGCGCGTCACGCGTACTGCGTCCCATGCGCGATTTATTTTTTTTTTTTTTTAATGAAAACTCGTCTCTCAGCTAGTAAATTATACAATTGATTTTTCTCTGTGCATTCACAGACTTAATCGCATTACTGTTCACCTTCAACACTAAATTTGTTTACTGGAAAATAAGTTGTACCGCCGCTATTGTGATCGACACCACGAAATATGCTTGACCTAAGTTTGACGAACCTTGGTTGAGCCTTGACACAAAAGTTTGGTGGTTAGGTAGAATACAAAACGAAAGTAACTGTTCGCAAGGATTTTTTGGCCTCCTTATCCAAAATGTTGTCTTGTTAACTCTGAGATATAGCGCTCGCCAAACTGTACTTGGCGCTCATCTAATGCTTGGGTGTTTGTTAATACTTAATATTTGCTTTTCGTGGGGAGCGTGGAGTAGTGTTTGTTTGCTGTTTTCCTTTTCTTGTAGATTTTTTTTTGGATTTTTTAATAATTGTTTTAATATGTTGTTGCTGCTTGCTGCTGCCGCTGCTTTTCAATGTATAACGGGTGTTGGTGTTATAAGAGTGCTTAGTGGTGGCGTATATTCTTGTTAAGCAGTGCTCTCGGTAGTGGTATTCTGCACCGGTTGGCTCTCCTGAAAAATGATAGTCAAATATGCATTAGAGAGAGTTCCATCAGGAAAGACAGCTTGTAAAATCTTTCAAATTCCCAACCACCACGACATTTGTTTCACCCATTAAAAAGCAACCAAAATGCAGCCTCAAACAAAAAGATTTTGTGTAAAGATAATTGGACAGAAAAAAAACCTTTTTCGTTACTACGTAACTATCATCTAGAAGATAGGATAATATATAAGCGAGCATCCTTTATCAATACTTTTACAACTATACATAGGGTAGATGATAAGACTATAATATTATTTTTTAGAAGTTTAAAAAACTCAAGATCCCTGGTGAGTAGTAGCCAGCAAGCGAAGCGCCTTACATTAGTAATACGAATTCCTGTAAAAGAGGATGGGAGGAAACTAAGCAAAAGAAAAAAAAAAAATAGAAAGGAATTACCTGTGGAGCAGGGGTAGCGGCAGGTGCATCCTTATCTTTAGGTGCATCCGACTTCTGCTCCGGCTGAAAAGAGTACAAAAAAAATTCGTGCAATAGTCTCGGTGCCAAGCGCTACGATAAGATAGAGCTGCAGATTCTTCGGCGGGACTCGCGAGGCCCAACTTTAGTCCGCAAAGTGCTCCATGGTTTCTGTCTCTTATTTAAAGTTATATCACCTAGCACTACGCCGACAGCCAGGCTCGTAGGATGTGTTATTTACAGGAGAGTGTGACAGTTGCTCGGGCCACATGAAACGAGCGTATATTAATCAACCAAACAGAATTGCAAGTAAAATCTAAAAGTTCAATTGCGTGTGGCATCGAATGAATACGAATAAATCTCTGAGCAAGAAATACTTTACGCGGGAATGGTTGCACATTAAATGGCTACCGACGAATTAAACGCTTTTCACGGAAGATTCTGGGTTGACAGGTTCTTGTTTGAGATCTCCAAGATTTTCATCGTAGAAAAACAAACTACTAGGGTAGAAAAATATTCCAAATGAAATGATTCGTGGAGAGGCGATTAAATTTAATAATGGGGATGTGGGATTATTACGATAATCCTGTTATCAGTACCTTGACGACCTTATCAATGGACTCGGTAAGGGACTTGGAAACTTGTGCTTGAGGAGGCTCGCGTTTGTTTGTAATGGCGGGCTGGACATTTTCTTTATTGGCGGTTTGTAGGTTACTGGGACGGGCTTGTCGGGATACGCGACGTCTGTATCGAAGTCGCTGAGGTCTTTGTCCACCAATCTGACCTCCTTCACCGGCACCCTCTTCCTCCTCACTCACCTGACAATTGAGATTGCTATTCGGACTTGTCGATACGTCATATACATGTTACTGTTTGCTTTTAAAAAGATATAATGAATGTCAATTGCTTCGAGTGATTATCGATATAAATGTTGTTGATAGGATTCTTAATGGGGCCTCGTATCAAAATATTACGTTACTACAGGAAAAAAATAGAATAATAAGAGATTCTCAATAAGTTTTAATAATACTAAGAGAAAGTAACACGCGATTCAATATGTCTATAAAAGTGTTGTGAAAAATCAACTATATGCCTCTATCCTTACCGTTTGACACCGTACAATGTTATTACCCTATGTCACATAGCGTAATAGCATGCTACGGTGTGCTGGGAGCATATCAAGAACGACGAACATGCACCACCACCACCACCACTGATGCACGAGCATAGTCATTGCTCCAGTGAACAATTCTTACTCGTCCTTTTATTATATACTAATATTTATTCACGAACAGAACTACCTAACAAATGCTTTTACATCCTAGCCGCAAAAAACAATACATATTCTCGACCACCCATAAGCCGCAGCAACTTTTATGCGGGATTGTTCTCTGCCTCTTTTTTATGAGGAACAATAAATACTCTAAGGTACCCAGGGCGTTTGCCGTAATTGATTGTGCTCACAACAAAGCATCAAAGCACGAAAAAGTGTGCTGAATTACGTAAGAATAATACTTTTTCTGCTCTGACTTTTTTGTCATACAAAATCCGAAGTAATAATCTTGTGTCAAATGCTTCTTTACTAACTGTAAACTTTTATACACCCACGGATCACTATGCAAACAAATATTTTATAGACTTGAACTTGATGTACTGCAACTGGTTTCTCAATGTTATCTTTTGCTTTCTAGCGATCAACTGTTCACTGCCGTGAAGTTTGTTCTTCGAACGAACGAGAAGAATCATATTAAATAATAATTAGAAAATAGTAAAATTAATGACTTTGTATTTACCTGACCATCCTGACTGCGGGGGCGCCTGGGAGGTCCACCGCCCCTTCCTCCGCGGAAGTTACGACGGAAAAAGCGACGGGGTGGTCCACCGCGTCCTCCACGGCTTCCACGGGGAGCGCCTCCCTCGCCAGTACCCTCGACGCCCTGTTCGCCACCCTCGCCACCATTTTCACCCTGCTGAGGGGTCGGACCCGACCGACGGGATCCTCGATAGTATCCGTCGTAGTGACGTTTCGGCCTGTAACGTCGCTGCTGGCCACCGCCTTCGCCGGCACTCGCGTCCTCGCCAGGTTTACCCTCGCCTGAAAACGTTACCAATTTTTTATTTATTTATTATAAACAAAATATATCTACAGTGTGTCATTGTATCGCCGAAAACGATGAAGATAAATATAACAATTATTAGACCTGTACTAACCAGACTCGTAACCTTCCTGGCCTTCGCGGGGTCTACGCTGGGGACGTGCGTTACCACGTCTCGGGTAGAACCACTGGCGATACCCACGACGCTTGTCAGCTGCATAGGGCGAACCCTTAACCGCTTCGCCATCGGGTCCCGTTACATTGGCAGCTTCATTTCCTTTTTCGCCGATTACTACGTCAAACTCGACGACCTCTCCGTCGCCAACGCTTCGCACGGCCTTCTTCGGATTGTTCTTCACAATGGCCGACTGTTCAAAGACAATACGAATAGTTAAGCGAACAGAGCGTCATATCACACACAATACTATGATCAAATGCGAAATAGCTTTTAAATAGCTTTGTAAAGAAACAAGAATCACTTATAGAATCAGTTCATAGAACCTTAATAACTTTATTGATATAATAAAACGATTTAGCTTACCTGATGGACAAACACATCCTCCTTGGTGTCATTCCTAAAACAGAGGAATGAAATGAACTTCGTAAAACTTCCTTGTGCAGTATCACCAAATCGTATAGGTTAATAAACATGTTAAGATTTTTCTAGAGGATCTTAAGAATAAATATGGCACGGGGGCAGCGCAACTGCAACGAGCCCGATTACTTTCGAACCATACGAAACCACCAGGTTTCTCATCCCTTGAAACTGGAAGAATCGATAGATAAGTATATATAAATGTGCGAGCGTACATACACGCTCGTCCCTGCTCCCCGGTAGTTTCTACCCCGATACACATTCGACAGTGCCCTCCCTCCCCCCCCTCCTTCGCCCTAGTCACTCCCCGCGACCATTCGTTCCCGTGGCTCTATATAGAGAGAGATGCTAACACTACCACAGATATATATGTATCTACACGGGCGAACGGACCCTATGAAGCTGCGGAGCAAAGCACGGAGTTGAAAGGTCGTCGACCTAACGCGTCCTTCTAGCGCAGAAAATACGTTCCCTCCCACTCCTCCTCCTCCTAACCCCACGAGCGGCCTCGTCAATTCGGTCCCTACTTTTACTTATTCACATAATTTTGATAAATACGATGCTCTTATATCATCTCTATGTATCGCGTTTTGCGATTTCACTTTCAGCAAAAAGAATATTCTCCTATTAAAAAATCTCCAGGAAAGCTAAATTATTTAAAAATCACTCAATTCATTTGTTCCAAGTATGATTTGTCCTGTTCAATTTTAAAATCCATATAGCAACACACGTAGCAACTTCCCACAGCAGCTTTTCGCATCTAGCGGTATATCTGAACTTTCTGAAAATACATGACAGAAGTAATTGGTAACCCAAAACCGACAAGTGGCTTTAATTTTTTTCCACGTGATTTTACGGATTGGAGGAAAGACTCAGGCGAGTGTTGTAACAGGAGTTAAACGTCGCTGTGCCTAATTACAAGGTACGCTCAGAGCTGGCTTCTCTTTCTGTCGTATGCGTTAGAAACTAAGGTTTCCTTGGCCGCTCGACGAGTCGAATACCTGCAAGAACGGAAAGTCTTTATTAGGAGCCCCCCACCCCCGCCCGCCATTCCTTCGATTCATGGGGATTCATGGGGGGGTTTTCATGTATCCATATAAATATCTACTGTCGGCATTCCTTATATTTATCTTTATTTTCGACTGTTCCAAAAAGACACACTAACATAACTACGAGCGATTGATAGTCTCAAAATTGATTGATACTTTTCTCAGATACAGCGACCATTCTTCTCTGACCCTGCTTCTCTGAAAATGGTTTTTGAAAAAAATAATAAAACAATACAACGATCTTCCTGGAAATCTCGATCTGTTGTTGCATTTCCGCGAATAACTACTTAGAACGATTTGAAGTTGGTTGCAGTTCGTTGCCCAAGCATAAACCCAGTTCGAAGTAACTTGGCGAATTTGTCATCAGTTGAATGAACCCTATCGATCCGCAACCATGGTTAGATTTCCTCAGTTATTTATATGAGAGATAGTACCGCGTCAACGAGAGACTTCGGAAATACGCTTTTTAATGAAATTATTTTTAAAATGTATCATTTTGTTTTATAAAAGTCAAATGTTTTTTGAGATATAAAAATCAATGATAATTTATGATTTTATAAGATTATCATCCACCTTGTAGCATTGCGCTGCACGCGAGCAAGGACATACAAATCAATTGAAACAATTGTCGGTTTTAGTTTTCACGGCACAACATATCGCGTATAAATTAGATTAAAGCCGCGCTTCCATTTGAAATAATATTTCCTCGTAACTACACGGCACGTAACTTCCAAGTAGATAATATCGCATCAGTTCTACCGGCAAATTTTTGGCGTGTCGCCAAATAAATAGAGACCTAGAAATAGCGAGGCTGCTCCATTATATCTAGAGCCACGTGCACAACCTAGAGAGAACGAATCTTCATAGGAAGTACATACGGAGACACGTCCTACACACGGTGGGTAAGGAGGCGAACCAACACTCACAGCCATTGTTAGAGCATAATATTCGTTAGATGCAACTGACCCAGAACGAACCACCGGATTTTACGAATTCTGCAGATTCCTCAGGAACGAGCAACGATTCCTGCGACAACAACTTGCAGTTTCCAAGTAACTCCAAGAATCCTCATCCAAATTCACTCGAGGAAGCTTCGCCTTATCATAAACCTAATCGGCATTAGGATAATCTGTTCCAGCGTTCCTCTCCATGGAGTATAAGTCACCGGGAATTCTATACGCACTTCCAGACTCTGTTATATTCTTCGCATCCCGAATAGACAGCAGGACTGTTATATCGCGCATAAAGAGTTCCGTCTTTTAAATATTTATTCTTCACGTTCACCTGAGTGTCATTTAGATGCACGCGGAAAAAATCCTTGGTCGCGTCTAGCATGTCTAGCATGTCTGGCATGTCGCGAGTAACGCGTTAACGATGTGCGTCCACGTCAGACACATTGTTGTTTCACGGGGACTAAAATTACTCACGAGCTCTTCGATGTTAATTGAGTAACGCCTCGAATAATCGCGACAAAACTTAACGCAAGGATACCAAGGACACGCGTGCTGCGGTATAACGGGAGTTAATACAATTATCAGAGACAGATTAAGACAATATTATTAACAATAGCGTTCAGACTTACCTGTTGATGAATCCGTAGCCACTCTTCACGTTGAACCACTTCACAGTCCCGGTCACTTTGACAGCTGCAACAAATGACAAAATTTCGAGTCAGATAGTTCCCTGAGCGAGCCGCTCTAGTTGCGGTTCGTTGCGCCAAACATTGCATCTTATTTGTTTGACGTTTTCGAGTCGATATTATTCAAAGCGTATCAACAATTCGAAAGTGAAACCCCCGACTACCACAGTGTACTTTTTAATAGTAATAGTACAGAGACACGTGCTTCTTATGGGGCATATAGGAATTCTTTTTATTCTTACGTTAATAGATTAACTGACTTTCCATTGGAAATTCGAATCGACTGTCTACAAGATGCGGTAATATTATCCTCCTGTGTTTAGCCTGCACTATATAATCCGATTGATAAACAAGTACACGTGTCGACAGATCATAACTATCAGAATGTCAGTATACGCAGTGTATCGTGATACAATCTGTGATGAGTACTGAAACGTGATTTTTTTAATACGATAATAAATTTATATTTCTTTACCAACGAAGTGTTTTTCATGAACACTATACATACACATATTTGTCATACACTGTGAAATGGTGATCGTTTTAGATAAATTTTCATTTCTACCGGTTCCCTTCAATTGAATTGAATTATAATTCGAAATATAAACGCAATAATCCTGAGAGGTTTTCAAGGACCGTAATACAAATAATATTTGTCTTCGACCCCGATCATCTTGGTACAACACTAAAGTCAATTTGTACGGTACACCGAAAATACCTCCTCTTTTGCCAAAAATTTAGTTAACAGTTACGCTTACATTGGAGTGTATTGGTTCAATATTATTTTCGAAATATATTCTATTAATAAATTAATATATAACCGATGATTATATTGAAGATTTGAAAAGCAATTTATAATTTTGAACATGATTTTCACCCGTGTTTACATGCTGCACATCTGTATAGTCATAAATGCCTCAAGGTATATTATTGTCACTGCTACTAAGAAGCGTCAAGGCACTGGCGACGTAAATACGCTCCTGCAAGTGAAACTGTCGATAGAGCTGATCGCTAAATAGTGTAACTGAAAGCGAATGCCGATTACCAGCAGACACAGTTCATTTATCCGAAGTCGTTGAAATATATTTCAAACGATATGGTATATCAGTGCAATAGCGCCAACGAAATTTCTCTCCGTCGAGTCTTTGATGAAATGAATTTGCCTCAAGTCGGTCAATCATAACTTGTTTTTTTAGGTGTAGATAATTACATAAATATTTTTCGTTACATATTCTCGAAATAACGAGAAGAAATAACACTCGAGACTCGGGTTGCAGGATAAAATAATTTCAATTGGTTATCGTTAGATCAATAGTAGTGTCACTTTTACTTTCGAAGAGACGCGTAACTTCGATGACTCTAGGATGATATCATAGATTGCTACTCACTGGATTGCTCGAAAAGAATATCGCGTGGGCAGCGAGTACACGAGGCCGACATTTTGAAGAATCGACTGTAATCGTTAACTTATGAATATTGGTGCCATCGACAGAAATTTATAATTATATAACATTGGTTAATTAAGGAAAAATTGTTTCAGTGCAATTCAAGGTATCACTAAGTAAATTTGACAATTGAATCGCGATATAAATTTAAAAAAAGAAGGGAAGGCATTAACTACCGATTGTTGCGTTCAACAGATGAAACCTTGATGTTGGTCTAAGCAGAACCGTTTTGCTCTGTCGAACGTATAGTCAATTAATAATTCGTATCGCTTGAACGTGGACATATTACGGGATTATATTAGAGGACTAACAATTGAATGGATAATAATTTATTCTTTAGCGAATTTAAGGAAGTTTGAACTTACGTATTTGAAAAGCACGCGAATTTCAGCCGATAGCCAGTGAACCAAACAAATGCCCGAATAAAGTGACCCTTAAATATTGAAATTTCTGCAGAATACTGCTAATGAAAATTGACCTCTAGATAGTAAACAAGCACATTAAACGGAAAACTGCTAGAATCAATTGTTTTGAGATAAAACAAAGCATAAATAATATACGGTAATATTTTAAAATCAGTTAAATCTGCAAGCACGTGATCAAACGGCAGTATTAGGAGGCTTCAGGATATTATTCATTAGATTTCAAAACTAGGAGCCGACACAAGCGTAGTTCCGAAATAGCTTTCTGAATGGAGCAGACATTTTCGATGGTAGAGCCTTCAAATAACCGACTTGAAAATTTCGTACTAACGCTATAAACTTGAGGTTAAGGATTGATCAAAATATATTCAAATAAGTTAAGATGTAAAGATGGACATAGAAACGACTGAGAAAAATAAAAGCAAGAAATGCGAAAATATAAAATGTAAGGTTATGAGTGTCGCGCAAGATGTTTGAAGTGGGAGAGACAGCACGGGGGGCTCGTGCCATGAATTTCAGACGCACTGAACTTCATGAGTCACTTCTCGAAGTTTCAGCGTGATTAGAGAACAGACTCGTCAAAAGGTAGTAATAAGAGGCAAAAGAAACTAGCTTATTAATTATAACAAGCAATTAGAATGGAATAACCCGGAGAAAGAGTAATATCCCCGGACGCAACTAGCTTCGCAACGAACTTCTGAGAAAATCGATTTCAAAGCGCGGGCTTGAAAAGCTGTCGGAGAATATATTTCCCAGTAGAGAACCAGTTTCATTATCCGATTAAAATTTACGGAAAAGAGATGATCCAAGCCAATATGCTCGAAAAGCTTTAGCCAAAGCCACCCTAAGAATTTCGGGATTTATTGAATTTTTTTCACGATCCCGGCACACCGGCCACATGGCAATACGTCTGCTGGGCGCGGGCGCCATTGCTCTAAAGCGCGAGTCCACAAGAATTTCTAAATTTTTCTCGGAGGATTGAAGTAAATTACTGTTATTCTGTACGAATAAAAGTGACTTACCGATGACCAGCTTTTGCTGGACAGCCTTGGGTTGTTCGGGCTGTTTTTCCGGGTCAGCCATGGTGGTGGTGTTAGGTGTTAAGACACGCCGCTGCCGAACCTAGATGTTCCCGTCCTTCTGGTTGTACTGTTGGTTCCCTTCTAATGTTCCCAACATGGCTGCAGCTCCAAGCGACCGAACAAACATTGTTCTTGTGTAACGAGCATTGCCATTGGCTCTCGTGCGCATCACAGCCTCAACCGGGCCAATCGCCGAGCGAGTCTCTGCGAGTATCGGCCCGCGGCACACGTTACTTGCTCGTTTCTACGAGCCGGCCGACAACAGCCGACGACTGGTGACGACGAAGGAGCCGAGTGGCGCCGGCTCGTCCTAGTATCGGCCAGCATTTTGAGAAATCATAATCCTTGCTAATAGCTTCAACGACCGTGGCTTCAATTATCCATAAATATATAATACAAGGCATGTTTCTCAAGGTTTTTGGAATCTTGCAATAACCATCATTATGCCTTTGAGTAATGGAATTTTTCTCATGTCCAGACTTAACCTCAAGAAACGTGACAAATATCACGCGTCCATATAATTCGATGATGCATCACGTAATTTCGGCAGAACTTACTTCTGTATTGCTATGTGAATTATCGAAATTTATATACTTGCGTCAATAGTTTTTTTGTAGTACGTAATTTAAAAAACTAAGACAGGTTTTAATGCTAGTCAAACGTATAGTACTTGACCAATAAGAAATACTACAGTTTTCATAAATACATGGCAAAGGAAGTTTAGTCTGAAAAGATTTATATTTGTAGATTCGTGTACTTACGCCAATAGAAAAAATTTATTTGAAAGAAATATTACTTCTATTGTAAAAACTAAAAAGCTCATATAAACAAAAAGAATCTAAAATGAATGATTCACATTTAAAAAAAAAAACTGTAAATAAATTTAAAATGGAACTTGACGCAGTCGTATGTTTATATGATTCCAACGAAACTTACACGTTTATCAATTTTAAAGACAAAAATGCAAGGACATATTTGAAAGTATCTCACGTGCAATAAGTCACTGATTCTACCAACAACTCATTTTTTTTCCATAAAAATGAAGATGCAAGGCCACTACTTTCGCCGAATCTTATTTAATTGTAAGTAGTCGGACAAATATATCCCGTAACATTCCTGAAAATATTCGTTATACGCCTACACCTGTTCAGACTAATAAAATCAATAAGCTTTTGAAGATCATTATTCAAATGTTTTAGAAAACGTCTAATATGTATAATGAGTTCATTAAATCGCAAAGTCCGTGCACATTGTGATCACATGGAGATGGTGAGAGCATAAACTATCAGTTATACACGTGAATGTTTGCTACCAATAGAATCTATTGAATCAATAGGGGGTGCACGACAAATGATATCCTGCATTCAGATTATGCTATACCTTTATATGACTACGTTTCCACAAGGTTGTATAATATGAGAATATGGTTTATTACTCTTCCTTATAATATGTTTTTAATAATATATTATTAATCACCTTGTTACAAAATATTAAAACTCTGAATTCTTAGTTATATATACTCAATACAAATGAATTTGAATTTATTTATTAATCGCACAGTATCCTAACACTGTACTAATATAATATTATATCTGAATTGCAGATTCTACCCTTTTGGTGGATGTTGTATCTACTAATATACTATGATATAAATTATACAGTCACTAGACGCATAGGATCCAATTACACACGTGCGATTTTTACGATTATGCGTTAACTTATAATTCCGCTGTTAAAAATTCATGATTTTTAGCTATATGTTCTGCCGTTCTTTTCATATTGATCGAAACTATATTTTTCTTTGAAATGTATATTTATATAGCCTCATTAATATTTGCAGTAAATCGCAACTTCTTCTTAACACACGCATATTAATACAAAATCTTGTAATTGTCTTCAATATGTATATATTACCCATTTAGTTACTTAAAGTGTAGATGACCTCATGATGTACAGGAAATGAAGGAAATTTTTCCATTTGAAAATATGTTTTATTAGGCGGTAAAGTCCCAGATATTCATTGGGATTTTAATAAGCGCAATAGCAAGATTGATGGAGAAGGAAAGGATAAAATTGGAGAAGATTCCTTTACTCAAAAGTAAAACACAATTGAAACTGAAAACTTTTTGCTGCCTTTTGCAGCCTATGTACTTGCACCAACACTACACTTAATTTTTATACAAAGTTATTTATGCTTCGTTCATAAAAATGTATGAGGCTTTTACAGTGAAATATGATACATTGCTATAATTTCGCAAAGTTGATTTTACAAAAGTGAGAACAATTTAAAAAAACGATAAGAAAAAAGATGGATATTTAGAAAAGATTATGAGACCCTTTGACACGATCGTGATGAATAATGTTGATCCACATATTTGCAATTTGGTACCCGCGATGAGCATCATACCCGTTTATGAATACTTTTTTATTCACCTGGAATTCGATTTCTTTCATTTAACGTGGAAAAAAGTGACATGAAAAGTCATTCGGCAATTGCCACCTTTTCGCAATGGTCGAAAGTCAATCGATTAGTTCAGTATGTCGTGAATTCATATGAATCGTAAAAGGGTCTTTAAAAGACATGCTGCATATGAAAAATGAAATATACGAAAGGAGATAAGGAGAACGGATGGTGCTTCGCACGATCACCCAGAGGAAATCTTCACGACTGCATAAATATCCGTATTACTAGTTTTACAATGAATAATTATCAGTAACTCATTTCTAGTCACCATACTCATCATTTTTACAAAAGCAAGCAGCTCACTCGATTACCGTCATCGATATTAAAACAATGAATCGAATCCGTATTCGCAAATTCATCGATCGACCTTGAATCGAATTTAGGGGAAATAATTAGAAAAGGAAACACCATTTCTCCCAATCCGTAAAGATGTATGAATAACCAAAAATAAAATTTACATTCTCCATCATCTTTGTCTTCTTTGTCGACTACTTCTTGATCTCGGTGCAGTGGAACCAGCTCCTATGTTGAACATTCCTCCAGTGTTGGGAGTACTAAACGCATTAGCACCAGGCGTTGGTGCACTGAAAGATGGAGTTGCTGACGCGTCGAATTTGGTCACGGGTGTGGACGATGGTGAGTTAAAATTGAATCCAGCTATAAGAAATTTTGGAATTAGGTAAAAGCATATAAGAGAGACGTAACGATAATAATATAATTCATAATGTAATAACCGAACCTACCAGGTTTAGTGCTCGTTGCTCCAAACTGGAAAGGCGCAGAACCGCTGGCACTATTACTCGTGGTACTTGTTCCACCAAAGGAAAATGATGAATTTTGCTGCGGTGGATTCTGGTTTCCCCCAAAGCTAAATGCGCCACTGGGAGTGTTGGTATTCGCAGGAGCTCCAAATGTTGGAGTTGATGAAGTTGAATTTCCAAAGGCCGATGTTGTAGTTTGGCTACCGAACGGTGACGCCACATTTCCTCCAAAACCTGGCACGTTATTATTCGTCGTGCCAAAAACTGGACTGGTTGTACTTTGAGTTCCGAAGGCCGTGCTTGTTGTTTGACCAAACGCAGCAGTGGTATTGATATTTGTTCCAAATGCAGGAGGTGTTGCCGTTGAAGTTCCAAAAACGGAGTTGGTGGAACCGAATGGTAGCGTCGTAGATGTTTGACTTCCCAAAGCGGATGTTCCTGGACTCTGCACACCAAAAGCTGGTGCTGTTGAATTAGTTGTACCAAAAGTCGGTGGAACTGTTGTAGCGGTTGAACTGGTTGGTCCAAAGGCAGCAGCAAAAGGTAGTCGTGAATTAAACGGAGGAGTCGTAGTATTTCCAAAAACAGGAGTAGGAGCACCGAATGCTGGTGGTGACTTGATTTGTCCAAAAACGCCGGTACCACTGCTGAAGCTTGGCGTTGGTGTGGTTGTAGCATTCGAATTGGTATTGCCAGCACTGAATGGACTGGGCGCAGTAGTCGCAGCAGTTCCAAATGTAGGTGCACTTGTGGTTGATCCGAAAGCCGGTAGAGATGTTGTTTTTAGTGTACTAAACGCATTGGATGTACTGGCGTATGCTGGCTGAGTATTACCGGTGCCGAAGAGAGAAGAGCTAGTAGCACTACTCAATACTGGCGGTGCAGGTATTATACCAAAAGATGGAGAACTCGTCGTAGGAGGCATTCTAAATGCTGGAGTCGCGTTAGTTGTTGCAGATCCAAATATCGCGGAAGTACTTGAGCTAGTAGCTGCTGTACTTGTGGTACCAGTACCAAATGAAAATCCAGAGTGAGTTCCCGTTGTTGCGGATGGCTGTCCGAAGGTGAAGCATGCAGTTGTAGTTGAGATTCCAAAACCAGAGGAAGTCGTATTCGCTGTGTTTCCAAAGCTTGGAACAGCAGTGCCTGGCGTAGTGCTACTGGAGGGAAATGCAAAGCCCGAAGTGACGCTCGTATTCACAAATGTCGGGTCATTTTGTGTGTTTGCAAGAGTGCTTTTACACGTGGGAACACTCTCTGTAACTGAAGTATTCCCGAACGCTGGAGTACTCGATGGATGCGTAAGGATATTTTCAAAAGGGCGAGTATTCTGTAAAGTTGAGGAAACGGTTCCAAAAGCAGGTGCACTCTGCGCAGTGGTATTGTTACTTCCAAATGCTGGAGAATTCTGCGTAGTCGTACTAATACTTCCAAAGGATGAAACGATCGATCCAGCGTTCGACGTTCCTCCAAGGAGAATCGTGCTGCTTGATACTGGTGTTTTATGTTGTGAGCTGGTCTTCATTACATTAGACATAGTCTTCGCACCATAATCGAACATCGGTGTAGCTTGTGACATATTTGTTACTGTTGACAGTTGAATAGTATTTCCAGCGGTTGATGTTTCGCTGCTGTTTATTGTAGTTGACACAGAACTTGAAGGAATAACTGTAGGACTTGGTGCGATATTCGAAGTTCCAAAAACATTAGATGATACTGTAGCTGATGATATTGCAGTTGAGGCTAGAGAATTAACGTAGGTTGCACTTGAAGTGCCAAACTTCGATGCGGCGTTTGACGAGGCAGGCGTGGTGCTCGAGGAAGCTGCGTTAAAATTAAAAGATGGTGCAGTGGTGTTACTAGAGGTCGCAGCGAAATTCAAAATGGTACTGCTTGTGGTATCAATCGATGCTGGTGCCGTCGCAGCTGTAGTGATTTGTAATTTCGATTCTTCAAATTTTGTGAGAGGTTTTTCGACCATAGCTACCGGTGCCGCCACAATCGGTGGAGTATTACCAGATCCCTGAGATAATTCTATGCTGGGTAAGCTGAACGTAACATGCTTAACAGATTTCGGCTGGGATTTTAATATAGCAGGCGCGATGGCCGATGTTGCGATAGGAGATGTGTTGACGTTTGTAGTTGATGTTGAAGAATTGAGAGAGGCTAAGACCGCAGGTGTTGGTGAATCTACAGCCGAAGGTGTAGATGCAGTTGTAGTTGTAAGTGCAGATGTAGTGACCGTTGTAGTTGTAGTATTGATTTCTTCGGCTTGTATAACGACGTCCGGATTGATTTTATTGGCAGCTGTAATGGAATATTAACAAATAATTAAAAATAAAATTATGAATCAGATAATTCTTCGCTAAGATAAGATCGTAGATATATAAATATATTTACCTTTGCCAGATATCGCATCAAACATACTTTGCAATCTGGCGCGCATACTTGTTTGTCTCATGTTTATAATATCCTCCTTCTTTATTTCTTCTGCATCTTCACTAGTGAACTTGGCCTTGATGTGTCCTTGTTCTTGTATCAAGCTTTTCAATTTTTCATTTTTTTCCGGTTCAGGCCTCATGAACAGTTTATCTGTCAGACTTACAGATTTGTTCACTTGTTCTGCGTTCTTTCTTGTAATCGACTCTGCTTTCTCTACGTCAGATGTGCCTGAATGAACTTGGACAACAGTTTGTAGACCTTGGTTGGACGTGATCTCTCTGCCACAGGAGCCTTTTAAAATTCCTTGCGTTTGCTGCTGATCTTCCAAATTTTTATGTAAATTAATTATATCTTTACTTGGTAAATATTTGTGATTGTAAACACGATTTTGTAATTTTGCAGTACTCGTTTGAATCTGTGGCAATATTGGAACAGTGCTTTTTTGAACACTCTCCGTTGCTTTAAAATGCTTTTCAAAATCTGGTGTTCCACTTCGTGAGATATCCACTATAATGGGAATAAAAATATTATGTAAATTTTTTGAACATTGGAGGAAACTGTAGAATTAATTAAAAAGCGATATGATAGTATTTGTACTGAAAGTGTTAGATCCTACAATACTTACTAGCTTTTCTTTTAACTCCTGAAGATGTATGAATGCTGGAGCTTAAAGAATTCAAGACATCATAGCAAGATGGTGTTTTTGTCCGTTTTGATGGTCTCAATGATCTGCTCTGTGGTGAGACATCATCCTCTGATTTCGATGAGTCATCCCTTGTTCTCTTTTGTGTTAATTCTTCCAAATTTTCTAGATTATCTTTGAATATATTTTCGGTTCGTTGTTTCTTTATCAGATCTGAAATTTCTTCTCTAGATGCATGTCTTTTTAAGGATATATCTCGAAGAACCTGAACGACACTTGGAGAAGGCTTGCTTTCAACGTGATAAGCGTCACTTAGAATTTTTTGACGTTCAGGAGGCGAATACTTAGTTGCATCAGGTGGTGCAATTCGTACTGTAACTGGTGTCTTAAGTTTTGGAGATTTTGTATTTATTAGAGGTACTGGGCTTGAATTGAGATTGACCTTTGGAAACTGGCCTGGTCCATACTGGGATTGATGAGTCAATTTACTGTTAGCTTCCATAGCATACTTTGTCAAACGAGTACTTAATCCTGGTGATGTTACATCTGAATAAATTCTGTTTCAATAACAAAAGAAAGACACCCATTAATATTGTGTACTTCAAACAATTATTCATATGGGAAGCTGGCACAATAATTAAGAGTTATATTCGATATGAACATCTAAATCTCAATCAATCTTTTGTATAAGATAAGAGATAAGAGATAAAAGACAATCATCATTTTAAATTATTACGATACGTTAGACAAGATTAAGGCAAGGTTACAGTAACACTTACTTGGGATCGATATTGAATCTTGTGGAAGCAAGTAGAGGTCCAGCAACAGTTTGGACAGTTTTTACAACATTAGTATTTTGTTCCATTTTTGGACTAATACTTGTGCCCCAAGGTGAACCATTGGGGCTGAAGACAGTGTCTTCACCACGAAACAAAGTATGATTGTGTGCTTGTATAGGTAAATTTTTTTGCCGGGAAGACCGGGATGGTGTGAAGAATCCAACACCTCCATTTCTTGGACTATCTTTTCTCCACGAGACTAAAGGAGTAGATGTATGCTTATTGACTGAGGATTCAGCATAAGAACGACTGTGAGTATTCACATAGAAGTTATTCTCGATGCCATTGTCCATGTCACGATAGTTCATCCGTGGAATAGGACTAAGTTGACCAGTTAGGTTAAACCTAGAGGAGTTCTTGGGCTCAGAGGAAGAATCATTACTAAGTTGATACGTGCTTCTTCGTTGGCTACTCATTTTCGAAATGATTCGGCTTTGGTAGAGAGTTTTGATGTTTTTAGAGTATTCTCGGAAGTTCTTCAAAATATGTCGGGCAGCGTTCTTCAAGTTTTCGTTGAGTTCGCGGGCAACTTCGATGAGGTACTCGAACGCCAGTAACGCATGGGGCGATAGAATGCTATCGTTTACGAGAAGAGAATAGCACGCGTAAGTCACCAAAATTAAAGCGATAGTGAGAGCGACAAACGGTCCCCAAAGATTGTAAAGGAGCACACACCCACTCAGCACACTTATCAACACGATAATGCCCCGGTTCCCTATATCCCACATATTATTTCAAAAAGGTAACCTCCTCATGTTTGTAAAACAGCACACTCACCGAGTCACCGTAACCTTACCGCGTTTAGACGCGAGGCACACTAGAGGTCCGTTCGTGCAATCGTTTTCACGTGCGCCGAAGCACTATAGGTGTGTTCAAAAATGAGCCGAGAGCGCTAAGAGCACGTTGTGTCTCGATTAAATGCATGCAATAAACAGAGACGCCATGATGCTCTATGCCCTGTCGGCTCATTTTTGAACACACCTATAGTACTCTGGAACATGTAACACCGCTTGCATGAACGGACCTGAGGATTTCACGGTTCAGATTGATTTTTTTTCAAGATCGATTCATTGCCATTAAAATATCTAAATTTTAGATTGATTTTCAATCGCTTGAAAATTCAAGAAATCGATTTTTTACTGGGCCTTATTTAGTTTTTTAATTATTATAATCAAACGATTGACCTCCTAATGTTTGAATTAGACTACCAATCACTACCAAACGACTACCAAACGATTTTTATAAATGTTTTAATTGAAGTTGTATGGCTAACTTCAGCCCGATTAATGCACCACGCGACAAAATCTGAGACATCTAGTGGTCATCAGAGAAGTACATTCTACTTTTTAGAGACATTTCAAATTCCTCACAGCCAGGGACATCTGGTAGTCGAACATTCTAATTCGGTGAAAATCAATTTTTTCCTTCCAAGATGTTCAATCGTTTGCAAAATGCTTTTTCAAAAGCTTATTGTAGAAGATTAATAGCGTTTTCGATTGATAATTTTTTTACACCATGTTTAAAGTGTAGTTCCATGCAAGTGCAGCTTTGTACCACATTTAATTACTCTAGGAAAATTTATCAATCGAAAACGTACCATGACACATCTTTCCCTCGGTACAAGAAAATGCTGAAAATCGAAAACTGTATAAGAATCGAAGGAATGTCTTTCTGTGTGGCTGAAGGTAAATGAATACTCTTTATATTTACTGCATCATAATATACATCGTGAATATTGACATAGTACAGTTTCTTAAAAAATAGACCGATATACTCTCGTATATCAAAAATATATTTTAATAGTGTCGTATATACATAATCGACAAGTCGCGGATGAGTGATAATCTTACATTCGCAGATACCATTCGCTAAATGGTTAGAACAGATTTCCTTTTTTTTTCTTAAGAATGTATCAATCGCCTATAGATTACACATAGAAAGGTTCTCAGCAGCTTAGAGCGAGACTGTGCGAACAATCCATACTCGAATCGCAAACAATCTTTATCAAGCAGGCAAAATCACGAGCAGTGTATAATATATTATGCAGACATAGTATGTGTATGAGATTCAAGTGATATTATGTAGAGTATTGGTAATTTTATTTGTAATTCGATCCCTTATCATTATCTTATTATTTTTCATACAAATATAAAAGTTCACCATGGTTTTCAGGAGTTAAAGCAAATCTTAATCATATCTCAAATATATCAAATTCCCTAATTTGACGACTTATATCTTCGCATCTGCACAATCTATTTCATTAGCCGTAAATTATACAAATATACCACTGTCTTCAACAATGTTTACCATCTTCACCTTTCGATCCATAGTATTTTCCATGTCCATACGTTTAAAATCATGCAGACCGTATAAATATCTATTGGCACTTACTTCGAGACATTCTTAAAAAAGCAATCTGTTCATAACCGTAGCGAAAGAATAATAGAATCTACCTGTACAGGCAATATCGTCTAATCCTCTAGGATGCGTTAGTACCAGAGAGCATCGCCGTAAATCCGCCATCCTCGAATTGTCATAGAAAGTCCTTCGAATCCCCGTCCTGACGACAGGACATTTTTTCCGCCATTGCTCAGGCTCGTTAACTTTAATAAGTGTGAATCCAAACGTCGCATATACACGTATACAATGTTATGGCAATACTTAGGAGTACGCGCCCACGACTGGGGCCTTACATATTATAAATACACTAAAGTCCTAGGATTCACGAATTACCAAAGCCAACGTAGTGACGTGCGTATCGTCGGGACGGAAATCGTGCCGAATGCAAAATGTACCGGAAGTTCATTGCAGTGTCAGTGCGTTGATGTGCGTATGTAGGACGTCCACGTTGTCCTTGAATGACCTTCCAGGCCGTTCCGCCACCTCTGGGATTTGATCTCTACCAAATCCTTTTGATGCACTTTGAGTCTTCAGTGTCGTGTCGACAATTCTGACTCGCTTCGTCGAAGACAGTGCCTTCCTCGCAGACAAACCGAAAGTCGAGAACTTGCCTCGAAGTGAATCCTGGCGAGCAATAGTGAAATAGTCGACAGTCCCTCGGGTCGCCATAGAATCGATACATTTCCTTTTCCAAACAGTTAAAAGGCGACTGGTTTCGGATAGTCGTCTTAGTTGTTGTGGATTCCGCTAGAGGCTTATTTGTCTTCGATTTCTCATAGGTCTCGTGCATTTCCGGTCGCTCATCCGATGGTGTAGTCGTAGCATTATGCTCAGGCAGGCTCGTAACAGATGGCTCTAGAGTCGCAATCGACGAGAGAGTCATAGCCTCTTTCGAAAATAACGACGTATTTTCTGGAAGATTTTCGGTAACCGTACTGCTATTCGAGTCACCAGCCTTACTGACTTGCGCAGTGGACTCATTGTTATTAGCTAAAGTGTCATCTAGAGGATTGGAAGTAGTTGGGCCATTCGCCATGGTCGCGACTCTCGATAGCGGATATGGACTGCTAGTTGCTATTTGAAATTCCGAAGGCGACTTTTCGTTCGAGGAAATAGGAACATTTGTTTCACTTACACTAGGATTCATCTCGTCCTTGCTTCTCTGCAAGGATGCATCCTCGGAGGACACTTTGTCGCTGGTAATGTTGGACCGTCTCGCTTCATTCGATTCCGGGACTTGAGATTTTACGGGTTCCAGAGCATTCTCCTCGCTGCCGGTTACTTCTGTTGAGACGAAAATTATTTCCGAAGAATTTTCAAACTCGTCGATTCTCTTTTGAACCACGTCACTTTTCTGCGTGTTGCTATTCACAGCTGCGGCTTTTCTTGCCAAAAGCGGATGTTTTCGTATAATCGGTTTTGGTGCGATTTCGTTATAACTTTTTATACGTTTTGCAGGTTTCGGATTATACAGACCAAATGTGGGTTTTATCACGACAGGATTTGCCGTTGTCGACGGAGGAATATAATTGTAATTTTTTCTCGCCATGAATGGTCTAAATAATTTTGGAGAGGTTGGTCGCACTGTCGTTGTGGTTGTGGTTGTGGTTGTTGTTGTTGTCGTAGTCGTAGTTGTCGTACTAGACGTGGGTCCTATTATTTCTTCCGGTTTATCTCCCTTCGATCGATCCTCAATTTCATCCGAGTGCTCCTTAGCATCCTCCTCCGATTTATCCAAAATATCTCGATCCTTTGACTTTTCTCGGTTCTCGTCTCCCATTTCCTGATCCTCCTTCTTCAGCTGATCCTGCATCGACGTTGATTTTTTCTTATTCTGCTCCTTGTAAAGGGCTGGCTCGTAATTATCGTCAACGTAGTCCTGTACCACCGTACCATCCTCATCCGAAGTGGTATTGGCTTTATCAGCGTTGTCGTCCTTCTTATCAGTTCTGGGTAACTCATCCGTAAATTTGAGGACACCCTTGGTGTCTTCCACCTCGGTCGACGATATTGGCGCATCCTCCTCCAAAGATTTTTCAACTGCACTCGAAGTTCCCTCTTGAGAATTCAAAGGCTCCTCCGATCCAACGTATTCGCGACTCTGGGAGCCTTTGTAATCGTCCTCGGAATCAAGTTCTTGTGATTCGGTGAAGGACTCTTCCCTCGAGTCAGGATACTCCGCACTTCTATCCACAGGTTCGATTTCGCCGCTGAATTTATCCGGGAGAGTTTCTTGCGACGTGTAGTCCTCCCCCTCCTCCTGTCCCTCCTCTTCCTCCTCTTCCTCCTCGGATTCCTTCCGGCTCTTCGCAAACTTTTTACTTTTGTCCTGTCTCCGTGAAGACTTTTCCCGGGACGAAGAATCATTTTCCTTCTCAAATTTCAAACTTTTATCTCTCCTTGGTTCTTTATGACTTTCGAGCGAGTCAATCTTGTTCGGAGATTCGAGCGACTTTTCTTCGGAATATTCATCAGAGTACTGCTGCGATCCTTCGTAATCCGATTGGACGTTCGACGTGTTCTCATCGGACGTGTATTCTTCCTCATTGGACGGCAGGACATCTTCTTCGATGGAAATATCTCTTTCCGTGCTCTTTTCCTTTTCCACCGATATTTCCTCCTTCGACTGATTCTCCGAGTCTAAGACGCTCGAGTCCTTCGCGGGTTCTTTAGCGCTTTCCGGACGATGGGCTCGTTTGTCCTCGACTCCAGCGACGCCTTTGCCCAAATTGTTCTTGGAATCCTTGGACCCACCCAGTGCACCCACTTCTCTCGTGTCGACTTCCTTCGACGTCCTGGATTCTGGTTCCTCGAATATTTGACTATCAATCTGCTCCTCGGACTCGGATTCCAAGGATAAAGGCGGCCTCGTCGTGCCCCTAGGTCCATTGGGCCTTGCGCCATTTCTTTCTGGTTTTCGTTGATTGTCTCTGGCACTCTCGGTTCTCTTAGCCGCATTCGACGTAAATGAAGATGGAAATCTCAGCTTCGGCGGACGTAAGCGTGGCGCCCCTGTTCTTGGTTGATCCGTCGTGGAGGAACGTTCATCCGCAGCCTTATTCTTCCTCGATTTCTGCGCTGTCGTTTCAGCATATTTAGAATTAGATTTTTCTTCCCGTTCGACAGGAGATTCTTCGGCGATCGACATGGTTTTCGACTTTTCGGTTTGAGCAACCTCTTCCTTGTTGGATTCTTCCTGTGGTTCCAGTTCGCCATTGTTTCTTGATTCAGGATCAGCCAATCTCACGCTGGACCTTGACTCATCCCTTCCGTCGTTGGTATTCTCAACAGTCTCTGTTAACTTTGAAGATTCCGAAACGTCAGCTGATTTAATCTCCTTATCCTCAGCATCCGAGTCCTTGATAGTCGAGACAGGCCTTGGCTCAGCGTATCTCTCGGTGCTCACGTTTTCAGTATTCAGGGCAGACTTGGCGACAACGTTTTTGGCGCTATCCGATATATTCAAGTTTCCGTGGAATTTCGATTTATCTATTTTAGTCGCATCGAGTAGCTCAGCATTTGAGACAGAATCCACTTCAAGAGTTTCCTTTGCCTTTGATTCTTCAGGTGATTCTGTGCCCTTGGATGGAGGCGCACCCTCGTCATTAACTTTTCGATCAATTTTCCCAACTTCAGTTGCAGACTTCGATTTAACATATACTACGGCATCCGACTCCCTGCTATTAAGAATAGATTTCGCTTCTATATATTCCTCCGCATCCGATTCTTTACTGCTAAGCACTGACTTCATCTCGATATGTTCCTCGGTAGTCAATTTTTTATCTGGGCCAACCTCTTCGCGTTCAATGTACTCATCGGCATCGGACTCTTTAGTGTTCAGAGTAGATTTTCTTTCAATCTGCTTCTCAGCATCAGATTCTTTGCTGTTTGATGAGGACTTTGAGCCGTTGCGTTTTTCTGTAGTAGTTTCTTTGTTCTTCAAAGAAAACTTTGGCTCATTACCTTCTTCAGCATCAGATTCTCCGGTGCCCGGCGTTGACTCTATAGTCTCCGTAGTTCGTTCGATGTTCTTTTCTGATTTTGGATCAACATATTCCTCGGCGTCGGACTCTTTGCTGTTCTTAGCTGATTTGGCTCCAATGTGCTCCTCAGCATCCGATTCCTCGGTGCTCGGTGTTAATTTATATTCAGCGCCGTCGGGACTCTCACCTTTTTTCATTGCTTTGTCCTCGACACCTTCCTCAGCGTCGGATTCTTTGCTATTTAAAATTGATTTAGTCTCGACGTATTCCTCCTCGTCGGATTCTTTACTATTCAAATTTGACTTATATCGAACGGTATCGGAACTGTCGACAAGAGATTTCGGCTCAACATATTCATCTCCGTCCGATTCCTTCCTGTTTAAGAACGTTTTAATCTCAACGTGTTCCTCAGCATCCGATACTTTGCTAACAGAAACAGATTTGTCGGCCTGTTTCACGTTTTGAAAATTTACATTTATTTTTTTCGAACTTTCTTCATTTTTCAATTTGTGCAAAGTTCCTTCGTTCGTTACGTGTTCTTGTTCGACGTGCATCGTATCAGTTTGGTTGGTCGCATCGGAGTCGGGAATTTTGCTGGGTTTCGCTTCACTACGAATTACCGTTCGTTCTGATTGACTTATCGGAAAATCAGTCACGGGCAATTCCCTTGAATCATCGATACGTTCTCCAAGAAGAATAGCCTTGAATTTCTGGAGATTCTTTTTAATGCTTCCGATATCCGTGATCTCCTCAGTGTCATCGAAAAAGGCATCATCCACCGAATCGTCGTCATCGAAAATATTTGTCACCGGATCGCGCGACCCTTCACCTGCATCTTTGTAATCCTCATAATTTTCATCGTTATCCTGTTCTTTTGCAACGGATCTTTTATCTCTCGAATGAGTCTTGTCAAGAATATAAGAGCCGAGATGCTCGTGGACTCTCCTCGCATTCCTGATCTTCGGCACGTCCTTATAAAAAGGGTCGAAGGACTCGTCGCCCTCTTTGTAATCGTCGTAACTGGCTGGGATGGTCGGTAGCGGGAGTGTAACAAACTGGGTGGAGTTCAAAGGTCGCCCGGACTCGTCACTGACACTTGCCTTAGCCGTAACGATCACTCTCGACTGCGAAGGAAGCAGCGGCGAAGGATTCTGTACGATTCTCTGAATATCAGGCGGCGGTAAGTTAATGGTGATTTGATGAGGCTTCAGATGAGGAATCGGGGGTGGTGGTGGCAGATGAATATGTTGAGTAACATCATTAGAGTTTGACCGTTGCTGCGGCTTAGTGGGAGCTGAGGGCCTCGGGGTCGGATAAAACGATCTGACGGTAGGTGGTGCTGTTGTTGGTGTAGGAAGAAAATTGTTCGATATCTTTGATAATTGCGGAGCCTGAGTAGCCTTCGGCTGAGTTCGGCTCGATTCCGAAGGAATCGGCGAAATTGCTAATTTCGACACTTTTCCCTTATTGATAGATTGGACGGCTACCAGTGGCCTTCGATCCGATTCGTGCTGTTCCTCCTCACCCTCCCTCTCGTGCTCCTCCTCCCCCTCCGCCTCCCC